GGCCAAGGGGACTGAGAGGGAGGAGAGGCCGAGAGGGAGGAGAGGGCCGAGATGGAGGAGAGGGGGGACAGGAAGGAGAGGGCCGAGAGGGAGGAGAGGGAGGAGAGGCTGAGAGGGAGGAGAGGGCCAAGAGGGAGGAGAGGCCGAGAGGGAAGAGAGGGCCGAGATGGAGGAGGGGGGGAGAGGGAGGAGAGGCCAAGAGGGAAGAGAGGGCTGAGATGGAGGAGGGGGGGAGAGGAAGGAGAGAGTCCAGAGGGAGGAGAGGGAGGAGAGGGCCGAGGGTCTCGGCCGCCAGGAGCATTGTGATGCAAGGAGAGGCCGAGAGGGAGGAGAGGGCCTAGAGGGTCTCGGCCGCCAGGAGCATTGTGATGCTCTAATGAAGGCCATTGGAAGGAGCAGCCGGAGCTACTTGAAAATCAGAAGAGGTGAGGGGTATGGGGCTTTGGAAGTTAGTGGCAGAATCTGAGCGAGGTGTAATTGTTTCCGTTGTAACACAGACCTGGAGAAGATAAGCTCGGATCTCAGGGAGAGCCCAGCGGGTTGCCCTGGAAAAGCCAAGTTGGAAACCATTGAGTGCCGGGCATCAACTAGGGAACAGGACAGGGAAACAAGACTGGTTGCTTAGAAGTAATGTTCTGCTTGCATATATTGAAATTCTGAATCATGCCTTGATCCGAACCTGTGATTTCTAGAAGATTGCGTTTCTAGCCTGGTTCTTAGACCAGCAAGCCAGCTCATCGGCTTCCTTCTAGAAGGAGAACCAAGCAGTTCTCCATTTTCAAAAGGCTTCTGTAATGTAAATAGGAACAGCAATCTTTCCAAGTTATTACCCTGTTAACAGGTTGACAGATATGTGCAAATTGTGACTCACTGCTCAATTTGGCACTAAGTTAATGTCTTTCCGCGCCGCGTCTGCTCAAGTGTCAACTAGTCACCGCTGCTGTGTTCCTGCTTGTTTGCCTATATTTCGAAGGTAGAAATTAAAGTAATTTGATTCTGCCACAGCACAGAGTGTAGCATATGGTGGGAGTGTGGGAGGAGGGCGTGCTGTTCCTACCTGTCCTCAGCCCTGCACTCCAAGGGGGTGCGCCCATGGCAGAGCCCTGTAGACTCTGGAGGGCTCGCCCCGCCGAAGACCCCTCCCATGGGAGCCCCCACCATCGGCGAGAGAAAGTGTCGTTTCTACCTCCGGATTTTTAATTTGCTGTCCCGAGCTTTCCTTATTTCTGTCAAGTCACTAGTGGTTGGTTTGTGTTTCGAAGGCTGGGTCTATTTGGAAATGCAGTGTTTTGATTTTCACTTCTAGAATTTAGACTTTGTTTTTCTCAGCTCAGGATGCAGCTGACTTTCTCTTTTTGGCAAATACATAATGTCACCTGTGAAAAAGAAATTTGCATCTCCTTTATGGTAGGCATATGAACGAAAAACTGTCTCCTTAAAATTCATCTTGGCTTAATGAAATCTTTGACTTGAGTTGCTGAGCTCTATCTAAGATCACAGTTGAGGAAGAAACAACAACAAAAAAACCCGCCCGGACCTCTCCATTGGCCTGTCCAACTGCAGGTCTTTTCCTTGGGACTCCATCTCCTCTGCCGCTGAGGTGGGGACACCGCGGGGAGCACCTGCTCTCTGCCCAGTCGGAACTCTGGCCCCCACCAAACGCAAGCGGAGCTGGGCAGTTGGCATGGCGCTCTGGCAATCCACATGAGCGTGGTTTCTGGCTTTTTGTATGACCTGACGTCAGCACTTAACCTACCCACCCCTGTTTGTTTAGCCTACTACAGAGACTAGCTTTCTCCTGTGGTGTGAGAGCTCAAGGTGAAAGGTTGGGGCAAGTCAGGGTGGTGCTTTTGTTTGGAAGGTCTGCATATTCATGGCTTTCTACTGTCCAGAGCTATGATGGCTATTGATTGAGGACCAGTGCAGAAGGCATGGCCTCGCCCCCTCCCCATTAGCATATACTTAGCAGTGACCTCCATTCACACAGGAAGGTGCATTTTGCTTCTTGCTGAGTCTGAAAAAACTGGGGTTAAACCATGCACATAGATTTAGAAAAGAAGCGTGCAGATACAGAGGTGTTCTCAGTGACCTGGCCTAAGCTCTGGCTTGGAGTTTCCTCACGTGTCATCCCCCACCAAGGACCCGTGGCAGTGATGGAAGAGGAGTCCATTCGCTCTGTCACTGCCCACCTCTGTCGCTCGGGAGCTTAGCTCCCAGGTTGTTGTCTGAAGCTGTGACTGAGACGGGCGGCAGGACATGATGTGCAGCGTCTCGGCCAGTCTCTTAGCACCCAGGGAAGACTGCTTCTAAACCATTAGAGAATCAGCAGAATGGGGTCTTACCCTTAAGAAATGCCTCTTGTTCTTCTGAATGAGGTGGCCCTTTGATGCCCTATCCTCACGCGATGGTCCTTTCTGTAGATAGAAGACAGCTGTTCAGAAGGGACTTGGTAAAAGCCATTTGTGTACTCGAAGAACATCAAAGGCTCCCCTTCGCCTCTTTCCCCAGGAGCTAATGGCCTTCAGCTCACCTTCACCTCCTCTGAGGCGTCCCTCTTCCAGTCTTTTCCCTGTCCTGCTTCTTTACCATGAGTGCTTCAGTTTTTCCCTTCCCTTCTTTACTTTTATTGCTTATTTTTGAGAGATCTTTGCTATAGGATGCATGTGCTTGTCAGAGAGACCAAAATCAAGAAATCACCCCCTCAGGGGTGATGGCCACACAGCAATCCCTTCTCCTCCACCTCCTCTCAGGATTTGGGGCACGCATGGACACGTGCCCAGCATAAGTTTCAAGCCACTGAGTGCAGGACTCGAACCACCGTTGACCATGTAGGAGTCCCACATCTTAACCACTAACCCGCCTGCTGGTCCTCCCGCTTCCTTCTTCAGCTCCAATTTTATATAACATTCCCTAAGGAAAAGCTGGCACATGGCGAGAACTTAAAAAGGATGCATTCTTACTGTTAATTCTAGCACACACACCATGGGCCTATTTTGCAAAAAGTGCCCCCTCTTAGTGAGGTGGATTGTCCCCCATAGGAGACTTCACAGTAGTATTACCTTTTGACTGTACGTACCTAATATGTTGATATTCACCTTTATTTCCCCCAAATTGCCAGAAGACGTGTACTCGTCAGAGCAACAGGGAGAAAGCATGCCGAGTGAGGCAGTTACACCGCAGTCCTCTCTCCCCGTTATCCCACTCCATCGGGAGTAACTGGGGCCAGAGTTGGAACCATAGTGGGCCGCGTGGGATCAGCCCCATTACCACTAGGCTGCAGGACGGGCGTGGTTTTCCCTTTTTAACAAATGACATTATGTGGTCTGCTCTCGTCATGAGCCCCATCTAGGTTTCAAACAAATCTTTTCATCTCATGAATGGAGAGCTGCTGTCCTTCTTCCTCCAAGAAAATACACCTCTTATATGGCCTGATTTAATGGGCGTGTAATTTAATTTGTCATATCCAATGGATATGAAATCTAATACACAACCTGAATAGATAGTTTTGCATCTCAGTGATTATACCATGTATCCCCTTTGTGTCCAGTGTGCTCGGATGGCGAGCACAAACATTCGGATGATTTTACCCTCCAGGGACCCGAGCCAGACTCAGCTGTTGATGCTGTGGGCTGGTGTCTTCACGATGACCCTCCACCATCGGGGAGAATTGACCTCACTAAGAAAGGGCATTTTTTGCAGAGTGGGCCCATGGTACATGTGGTAGAATGAACAGTAAGAGCATTCCTCCTTTTTAAGCCCTTGCCGTGTACCAGACACCATGCTAAGTATTTAATGTCAGTTATCTCAATTATTATTTAAACCGTAAGAGTATATAGGTTACATTTGAACCAAAAGAACTACCCTTTTGGAGAGATCTTGCCAAGGAAAAAGTGGAACTCAAAGCTTGCCTGTTATTTACAACTGTAAGAGAAGTTTTAGGGTCAAGTAGAGAATTTAGGAATAACAATTAATCAAATGAAAACTATGGCAGGCCAGAAGCCCAGGAAGACACAAAGCTGGCTGAGTCAATCATTGCACTCACTGAGCCCCGGTGAGGCTCAGCCGTTGGAAATAGATACAGAGGTTTTAGAATGTAAACACAGAATACTGACTTAAGCAAAAATTGTAATATAATTTGAATTAGCTAGAGCAAAACGAAAAATGACTTTAGGAATTTAAAGCAAAGGATTTGGGAGACCAGAGGTTGGCATAATGTCTATGTTGCTGGACTCCCATGTAGTCGACTGCAGTTTGAGTCCTGGACCCGGTGGCTTAAATTCATACTGGGCATGTGTGTGTGCCCAAGATCCCAAGAGGAGAATGGAGGAGAAGGGATTGTGTTTTCTGTCTCTCTGTCTCTCTGTTTCTGGTGAGTGCACATGCCCTGTAGCAAAAACCTCTCAAAACACACACACACACACACACACACACACACACACACAAACAAGGGATTTGGTCCAGGGAATTTTTTAGTCAGATGGTTGAGATGTGCACACGAGCCCAAAATCCTGAGAGGAGAATGGGGGAGAGGGCACTGTGACGTGGCTGTCCCCATTGGGGGGTGATTTCTAGTTTTCCTTTCTCTGTCTCTGTCTCTGTCTCTCTGTCTGGTAAACAGACATACCCGATGGGGGGAAAAGTCCTAAAAGAAAGAAAAGCCCCACCAGGAACATGAGACCACCCAAGACTGGAAAGCCAGTATTGGTGGGAACCAGCGGCTCAGAGGGCGACAGCCACATGGGATTTTCTGTAGAAGAAAGTTAATAGGCCATGTCTCACAATGAAAAATCAAGAACCAGCAATAAAAACACATTATTTAAAAATAAGGAGGCAAATGCCAAAAGACATCGCTTCAACATGCCTGTCGCCAGAAAGACAAGAAACCAGGGAGGCCTATCTTCCCTAACAAGCCTCGTAACCCTGCGTGCCACTCACAGCATGTCGACTCATGGAGCTCTGACCCGGGCCAGCTCACACGTGTGTCTCTTCCTCCCGCCTAGGTATGTCGACGATGTGATCAGCCGCATCGACAGGATGTTTCCTGAAATGTCCATCCAGTTGTCCCGACCCAATGGGACGTCAGCGATGCTTCTGGTAAGATCTGCTTGATCTGTTCAGAGACGTGCAGAGGAAGAATTGGCCTCAAAATCAACTCTGTGGTCCTGTGTTGTAGGGTCTATAAAATAGGAATTCAATCCCTGTTCAGTGGTGAACAGCGTATTTTCTTTACTGGCATGCTGTAGGTTAAAAATTGTACACATTCAAGGCCTGCTTTTGAACAGAATCACAGACCCCATGGAAGAATGAACAAGGGAGCGAACACCCCGTTAAGACTCTTTCACCCGGGTCAATGGTGCCAGCCTCCTAACTGATGTTTGGGTGAATCCATTCTGTGTGTGTGTGTGTGGAGGGGGTAGTTAAGGCAGGGTTTCTCTGTGTCATGATCTTCCTGCCTTGACTTCCCAGGCTGCTGGAGGCAGCACACGGCCGGCGGAGAATGAACAAGGGAGCGAACACCCCGTTAAGACTCTTTCACCCGGGTCAATGGTGCCAGCCTCCTAACTGATGTTTGGGTGAATCCATTCTGTGTGTGTGTGTGGAGGGGGTAGTTAAGGCAGGGTTTCTCTGTGTCATGATCTTCCTGCCTTGACTTCCCAGGCTGCTGGAGGCAGCACACGGCAGCTGGCTTTTGGGGAGAGCCGGGAAGAGCACACTGAGCCTTGACCAATCTTTTAAAATTTTTATCAAAATGGTACACCGGTAGTAATGCTTAACTGTTGGATCGTGGTAAAGACAAAATACTCTTAGAACCAGCAATCTTTCATGGACTTTATTGTCTATGTGAAGAAAGCGTTGAGATGGCATCACCAATGACTTCCGGGCTCGTCCTGATCCGGGATGCTCTCAGCGGGCTGGCCTTCAGTCTCACCGCTCATGTCTGTGTGCAGGAATCCACCAAAGGCAGATGTGTTTGAGAAAGGTAGTGGGGCACAAGTGATAGGCTATATTACTAATTAGAAAGTCACCGAGACCGCAGTGATGAGGCACTTTTCTACTGGCCTGTGTAATAACACGTACTTGAAAAATACTCACTGAACACAGATTTGGGGAATCATCACATTTTATAGAAAGCAGAATGTGTTAAATTAGAGTGATACGTCCCAAGGGGTATCAGGAAGGTGGGGTTCAAAACTGAGTGGTTTGGGACCAGCAGTTGGCGTAATGGCTATGTCGCTGGACTCCCATGTAGTCGACTGCGGTTCGAGTCCCAGACCTGGTGGCTTAAATTCATGCCAGGCGCGTGTGCATGCGCGCCCAAGATCTCGAGAGAAGAATGGAGGAGAAGGGATTGTGGCATGGTCATCCCCCCTGGGGGGTGATTTCTCACTTTCTATCTCTCTGTCTCTGTCTTTCTGGCGAGCGCATGCGTCCTATAGCAAAAACCTCTCAAAAAAAAAA